TTGCTCCACATAGACTTGTTCTTCCAGTTCTCCATTCAGAAATGCTGATTTGACATCCACCTGGTATACTGGTAACTCCAGTTGAGCAGCTAGAGCGAGAACTATTCTGATGGTTTCCATTCTTGCTACTGGTGCATGTGTCTCGTGAAAATCAATACCGGGTTGTTGTGAATAGCCCTTTGCCACCAGTCCAGCTTTGTACTTTTGGATAGAACCATCTTCATTGAATTTGATTTTATAGATCCATTTGAGACCTATAACCGGCTTGCCCTCCGGTTGATCAACAAGCTCCCATGTCTTGTTTTTCTCGATCATGGAAATTTCTGCATCCATTGCCTCGTTCCAAACTTCTTCTTTGGATGCTTCTTCAAAGACTTGAGGTTCACAAGAAAAATATGCAACATGACTTGTTTCATAAATTTCTCGCAAAGACCTTGTTTTTAACGGAGGTGAATCCAAGTCTGTTACGACGTCTCTGAAGTCGTCTTCTTCCAGGCTAGGTGTTGAATTTCTTTCTGGACTTGCAACTAGATCTGGGTCGTTGCTGGGGTCTTCTGGAGTTGCTGAATCCTCCAGAATTTTATAACTTGGTGGAGATTGAGAAATTGGATTTTCCCAATTCCACTCCGCCATCTCATTAAAGATCACATCTCGGGAAACTACCACCTCGTTCTTTACTGGATTGTAAAGACGATAGCCTTTGGATTCATCACTGTAGCCGGTAAAGATCAGCTTCTCTCCCTTCTGGTCAAACTTGTCTCGGTTTGGGGTAGAAATATGTGCATAAGCTATGCACTCAAAGACTTTTAGGTGATCCACCTGTGGCCTCCGGTGGTGCCACGCATGTATAGGTGTCTTGTTCCGAACTGCTTTGGTTGGTGATCTGTTGAGGATGTAAATTGTCGTGTTGACTGCTTCTGCCCACAAGTTGTTGGGAAGCTTCTTAGCTTTGAGCATACTTCTCGCCATCTCCACAATCGTGCGGTTTTTTCGTTCTGCCACACCATTTTGTTGTGGTGTGTAACGGACCATCAGCTGCCTTTTGATTCCGTTGTTGCGGCAATACTCCATGAACGGAGTATAAATAAATTCTCCTCCACGTTCTGTTCGGAGGGTTTTGATTTGATGGCCGCTTTCCTTCTCAGCTACTGCTTGGAATTGAAGGAAGTTGGGAAAAGCTTCTGACTTTTGCTCCAGAAAGAATACCCACATCATTCTAGTGAAGTCATCTACAAATAGTAGAAAGTATCTTTTGCCGCTGAGCGATTGTGTTCGGGTTGGACCGCATATGTCTGCATGTACCAACTCCAGTGGCGCTTTTGCTCTCCAAGATGTCTTTGAAAATGGTAAACGATGCATTTTGCCATAAATGCATCCTTCACAGATCTTGTCTTCTCTGTTGATCTGGGGAAGTCCCACCATCATATTTTTATGTCTCAACAATTTGAGACCTTTGAAGTTGAGATGACCATATCTGAGATGCCATAGGAAGGATTGATCCAGATTTTCACTCTTGAATGTTACTTCACCATTTTGTGACATAGCAAGAGAGAAAATTTTCTTGGAAGTCATCGGGACTTTGGCCACCATGAAATTGTCAGCTTTGTTGATAATCTCGCACACGCCATTATCAAACAATAGCTTGTAATTTTTCAGCATCAGTTGTCCCACGCTAAGTAGATTAAGAGTTAGCTCCGGAACATACAAAACATCTCGTATGAGAGTTTTGTTACCTTATTCTGTGCATACAACAACTGTGCCTTTTCCTTCCACTTTTAGCTTCTTCCCGTCTCCCAACTTGACTTGAGAGCGGTATTGATCATCGATGTCGGTGAAGGACTCCAGATCTCCAGTCATGTGGTTACTGCAACCACTATCCACCATCCAGGGAAGCTGTGATTTTTGCTCACCATTCAAGCATGATAAGGCCACCATATTGCTTTCTTCATTTTTGGTGCTGCTTGACTCGCCTTCTTCTTGCTTGTTCTGGAACCAGCAATCTATCTGGGAGTGGTTTTGAATTCTGCACTTGGTGCACTTGAATCTACAGTCTTTTGTTGCATGGCCCGCCTTTTTGCAAATTATGCAACTCGAGCCGGTGTAGCCCGATTTTTGTTGTTGATAATTTTGTCTGTTGTTTCCTCTGTAATTGGATCTTCCTCTTCCTCTTCCTTGTGAGTTTCCCCCTCTCTGGCCTTGCTCCGATTTGGCATATTTACTTTCCGTCATGCTGACTTTTGACGAGAAAGCTTGCTCCATTGGCGGTTTTGTGAAGCGACTCATTCTTTGCTCGTGTGCTACAAGTGAGCCCATCAACTCGCTCATTGGTAGATTTGCCAAATCTTTGGTTTCTTCTATCACGGCAACAATGTGCTCAAACTTCGATGATAAGCTTCGGAGAATTCTCTCCACGACTTTCCTTTCTTCCATGACGTCACCAGTAGCTTTGATCTGGTTGACTGTCTCCGCAACACGCGAGTGGAAGTCTTTGATGGTGTCGGTTTCCTTCATCATCAAGTTGTCGAACTGTCGCCATAAACTTTGGCGCCTGATGGAGATTGCCTTTTCAGAACCTTGAAATTGTTCACGCAAGACATCCCAAGCTTCTTTGGCCTTTTTGATGCCATAGATTCTGGGGTAAATCGATTTGCTCACTGCTTGCTGAATTATTCTCAATGCGCTGGCACTTTGCTTGGCATTCTCCTTGTACTCCTTTGTCTGCTTGCCTGCTCTTTTTTTAGAGTCTTCATCCTCGTCTTGTGGATCTTCATATCCTTCTTGGACGATATCCCACAAATCTTGAGAGATGAAAATTGGCTCCATTTGGGCACTCCAGTACTCGTACAATTCACCATCGAAAATGAGAATTTGATTTGAAGAGGTAGCAAACATGGTATGTGATGAAGTTGTTGCCATGAGTTTTTTGAGAAAATTTGTGTAGGCTAGAAATTTGGGGATTTTGGAGAGGATAGAAAGGTATTAGCTCTGATACCAAATTTGTTTGGGATTAGCGAAAGTAGTGGTATGATTTAGGATCAACACAAATGAAACATATGGTGTTTAATCACTCAATTTAAGAAACACACTCAACCAAACAAGGCCTTAACTTTTGGCTCTTGCTTGTTACATACATACACACGACATAGAGCTCTTTCTTTTCTATTATTATGTCTCTTGCCCATTGCTCTATAACACACCCCATGCATACATATATAATACACAATTGAAGAAGAAAGAAACTAATAGAATGACCCCATATACTCAATGCAAGTGAGCCCTCTTCCATCATCATCTTCTCTTCCACGATACAACACAACACATGCATGAGTTAATACCAAATCCAATCATGTTCTCATGCATTGATATAGCCTTATCAATTTTGTCTTCAACTTCCAATCCACTTGCTGCAACTTGCTTGAATTATTTTGATGATGTCTCTTACATGTGCTCTTGTTCTTCACGTCAACATTGGGGGTAGATATTGATAATTGATCAATCAATAATATTAGGCCTACCATGTGAAATGTTTTGGGGTAAATTTATTGCAAATTACCTTTTAACACAGGGGTCGCTGGCGACCTCTCTTGAAATTTGTCGAGCTTCGTTACCACCACAGGTGTTTGCCCCACTCTCCTCGTCGTCGATTCGCTCTTGGCGAGCCTCAGACTGACCCGAATCATCATCGAAATGCTGATGAGATCTCCGAAATTGGCGGTCGCGATGGGAGAGGTACATACTCGATTCTCCCTCTGCCCGATGAGGCTTCGAACGGTGGCGATGGAAGCAGAGACTTGATTCTCTTTCTGTGCGGTGCTTCAATCGGCGGCAACGGAGGAAGATGCAGTGATTTTTGGGTTGGGGACTTCGATTGATGGAGAATGGCAACTCGATCTGCAATCCAAAGCTCACCGCCTGGAAAATTGAGTGGAGTTGCAGTTGCATGGGGAACAGTGGAGAGAGAAGGGCTTTTTTATTTATATATTTTTGTAAGTGATAGGGAAAAATAAAAATGTATGGATTTCTGAGGTGGATGTTGATGTGGATGCTGAGGTGGAATCCGTTAGTAAAAAATTAACAGTAACAGAATGAATGCCCAGACTTTGATTAGTTACAATACGTTTGGTTAATATATAGTATTCCAATAGGTTTAGATAAAATAAAAGAATTTGAAAAAGATTTGGGTAATAAATAGACATTACCCAAAAATTTATAAACAAGTCGAGCTCAATCTAAGCAAAAACTCGACTCAGCTCGTTTGTCGCCCTAGTCTGAATAATAGACATATAACCATATATGGTCCATGGACCGCTCAATTTTTGGGTTGGGGACTTCGATTGATGGAGAATGGCAACTCAATCTGCAATCCAAAGCTCACCGCCTGGAAATCGAGTGGAGTTGCAGGGGGAACAGTGGAGAGAGAAGGGCTTTTTTATTTATATATTTTTGTAAGTGATAGGAAAAAATAAAAAATGTATGGATTTCTGAGGTGGATGTTGATGTGGATGCTGAGGTGGAATCTGTTAGTAAAAAATTAACAGTAACAGAATGAATGCCCAGACTTTGATTAGTTACAATACGTTTGGTTAATATATAGTATTCCAATAGGTTTAGATAAAATAAAAAAATCTAAAAAAGATTTGGGTAATAAATAGACATTACCTAAAAACTTATAAACAAGCAGAGCTCAATCTAAGCAAAAACTCGACTCGGCTGGTTTGCCGCCCTAGCCTAAATAATTGACATATAACCATATATGGTCCATGGACCGCTCAATTTTCCAGCCGTATTGAGCAGTGAGATAGTTTGGCAACTGTAACCGCTAATTAGAATTGGACCAATTGGTTGAGAATGAGAATAGAAACTTGTAGCCCAACCAAATCTGGCCTGATAATTGTGACGAAGCCCAAAAAGCCTCGACCGGGTGGATTGAGGCCCACAGTCCCACATTGGCCATTAGGTCAAGAGGACCATATATTTTATAAATTTAGAAGGCTAGGGTTTCCTACCACTGTCTCTGCTACATCTCGACGGCGAGAACAAGAGGGTAAGTGTTTTCTCTCTCGTTCGGCAGGACTCAAGCGGCGCGAGACAAACTTTCCGAAGCAATATGGTCAGTTCTCGCTTTCAGTCCTTGATCTGTTTGTATGATCAACTGCTGCGCTGTTCTTTCCATGAGTTGATTCTGATTATGGCTTAAATTTCTGGTGTTCTTTCCATGAGTTGATTCTGATTATGGCTTAAATTTCTGGTGTTTGTTGTGGATGCAATTAGGCGAGAGGACTGAAAAAGCACCTGAAAAGGCTCAATGCGCCAAAGCATTGGATGCTGGACAAGCTCGGAGGCGCATTCGTATGTCGCCGTGCTTATCTCCGATTGATCTTGATGCACCCTTCTCGGGTCTGAAGAGTTGCTCACTTCCTTTAGATTTCCTCTGTTTGGTTGTTTGCAGGCACCCAAGCCGTCCTCTGGCCCGCACAAGTCCAGGGAATGCCTTCCTTTGGTGCTTATTCTCAGGAACAGGTTGAAGTATGCTCTGACTTATAGCGAAGTCCAGGCCATACTGATGCAGCGACATGTTATGGTTGATAACAAGGTCCGGACTGATAAGACCTTCCCTGCTGGTTTTATGGGTGAGTCAAACTTCTCATTCCATTCCTTCATTTTCTCTGTTTCCTTCCGAATTCAGTGGGGTTAGTGGTACTCTTTGCTAGATTTGTATCCGTATATTTGAAATTTCTTTTACACCAACAAAGAAATGGTAATGTGGGAATACCAATTGTTGGAGATATCTATTATCAAGAATGTTACAGATGATTAAAGTTTCGGACTTTTCAAGGTTACGATGGTTGATTATCTTGTATGGAAGGCACGGCTTCATGCCTTTGGTGTCCCTCCTTTATGGTCTTGTGGCTCAATGTGGCCATCTGCGGCCTGGGAATATCATGTCTCTGTGTTTCTATGGAATTGCAGCATCTATCAAACTCGTCATTTATCTTGCTTTACATGTTAGGGTCTCTATGTTTGTGTGTTGGTTTGTTCAGTTGGACTTGCACATTTATATGGTATTTTAATTTTAACGTTTGTTTCCATTTGGTTGGTTGAAATAGATGTTGTCTCCATCCCCAAAACCAATGAGAACTTCCGCCTGCTGTATGATACCAAGGGGAGGTTCAGACTGCACTCCCTCCGTGATGAGGAGGCAAAGGTTTGTGTTGTACATTCATGATTGTTTTTCTGCACAAAATTTGAGGGTATCTTTAGATTTATGTTTAATGGTTGCTTGTGAAATTTGTTGTGTTGGTTTTTTTGGCTGCAGTTTAAGCTTTGCAAGGTCAGGTCAATTCAATTTGGCCAGAAAGGCATCCCTTACCTGAATACTTATGATGGCCGGACCATCCGCTATCCCGACCCGCTGATTAAGCCGAATGATACAATTAAGCTGGACTTGGAGAGCAGCAAAATTGTTGATTTCATCAAGTTTGATGTGGGGAACGTGGTCATGGTTACAGGAGGTAGGAACAGAGGCCGAGTTGGAGTTCTCAAGAACAGGGAGAAGCATAAGGGAAGCTTCGAGACCGTCCACATCCAAGATTCTCAGGGCCATGAATTTGCAACTCGTCTGGGCAATGTGTTCACCATTGGCAAGGGTACTAAGCCGTGGGTGTCTCTTCCCAAGGGCAAGGGTATTAAGCTCACTATTATCGAAGAGGCAAAGAGGAGGATTGCTGCGGCTCAGGCTGCTGCTTAGGTAACTTGAATTTGAAATGGATGTGGTTGAAGAAGTTTATCTAGTAGGATGAATGTTGTCCTTCGTATCCCTTTTCAAGACTTGACCTAATTTTGCTTTACTATCAATTTTGAGTTGGTCTATGATGTATTTTGTGGGATTTGGAATTTGCTTGAGCATATTTCAGCTTGGTTGTGCTTCTTAGTATTTCACTTTTAGCGTAGGTCCGGTCAGCCTTATCCTGTGCCATCTGCTTTAGTCTCCTCTGCTGCTTCTGTTAATTTGTTTTTGTTTCTTGTCAAAGGTTTCCAATAAGGTGAAAATTTCTTCATAGATGAGAATTTTTTTTGATAACAAGCTGATGAACCAAACCGTTCAGCCACTAATGCTGAAACTAATTTATCATGTGTGCTGGAATTTGATGTCCTTAACAAGTCGGGAGTATAGATTCAAATTTTTCCGCAACAGTTTTTGACCTTCAACTGCTCGATGAATAAAGTGTAGGGGGAGGAAAAGAAGAGTAGAGTTAGGAGAGTGGGACGAGGTTCGAGTTCGAGGTGTGAGGTTTTCCTTCAGTTAGGAGATTTGGAATTCTGTATTTGGTTGTATGTAAGCCAATGACTTGACTTCTCAGGTTCTAGTCAATCTCAGGGAATATGACTCAATGAAAACGTTGGTTTACAACTCGATTTTATGGGTCTTTCTTTTCAAGGTCATATTCCTCATCTATTATCATCCACTAACTTCTTTTCAAAGTCATATTGCTTTCATACATTATCATCAACTAACTTGACCAACTTGACCATTGAAGGGTGTCCCTGTCACTATTAACAGAAATAGGAGTGAGAAATCAATACTCAGTCTCATTTGAAGAGGAAAAACATTTCTTGTCTCAAATCCATACGAATTAATGGGTGTCCATTACTCGTATGGGACAGATAACGGGTACCCGTGGATAACCAATAGAAGTCTCCGGAGAAGGAACCGTGTCATTTACCAATGTTGAGGTCAAAGAAGTGGTGGAGAGTCTCGATGGTTACTAGCTCCGTGGCATTGGGCCCATCTACGAGGTCGGCAGATATGTAGGAGGAGGGTGCGTTGAGCTTTTCAAGTGCTTAATTGATGAAATTTTACATGTGTGGCAGTGATTATGCAATAAGAGGGTTTCAAACATCTGGAAGAGAATTGTCCGACTAGAAGAGAATTGTCCGACATTGTTGCGCGTGTTGCTAAATACAATTGCAATAATAGATGATGATATGGTTATGGCAGAGTCTAATAATCCCATAGGAGGAGGAGGTACTAGGGACAAAGTGAGAAGACTCTGAGAGATCCCCTCAACAAACGGTGTATTATTATTAGTTAATTCAGAGATCCCCTCAACAAACTGTGTATTATTATTAGTTAATTAATTAACTAAGTTGGGGCTATGTGTGAGGTTTGTTGTAAGTTTGAGGGTTGGGTAGTAGGATGTCAACGTGTTCGAGTGGTGATAAAATGGGCTAGCTTGTACATGACAATTTATCTAGCACGTTATGAAAATTGAGTCCTCATTCTTTAATGATGAACAAATTACACCGTAGTGGTTATGAAGGATGTAAACGTGTTCCGGCATCATGATAAGGCTGAAAGTTTCGTATCACTATTTGGGATACCCGAATACCGTATCGAATTTGGCGATATTTGACATTATCGAATACACGTATTATTTTTAGGGATTGAGATTGAATTCTGAGTTTTATTCGATATTAGAAATTACTGGATTAAGATCGGTATATACCAAAATACCGATCAATACCAAACTATAAGCTAATCTGTATTTTATCCATCTTAACTAGACTTCCGTACTCACAACTACCATATTCTCAATCACCAAGATGATAACTTTATTATACATAGCTCATTTCCTCACTATTTGACAACCACTACCAAACTTATTTTGTTACTTGTAGTATTTTATGGGTTGCTTAGCCATTCCATATTTTAGTTTGTTGGTTTAGTTTGTTAATGTGCTTCTTAGGTAACACATTTTTCTAGTGTGTTGTTATTATACTTGAGATGTTTTCTCATTTCTTTTGCACGAGTGTTGGCACTACATCATTGTTCGTTTTTATGTGTTTTGAGAATGGTTTGTGGAGCTAATATTTGCGTTTGTAAATTTTATTTGTAATTTTGAAGGAAATTAATTTGGTATCGATAAAATTTTTATGGATTGAGATTGGAATTTGGATTGAGTTTAGGGTAGAATTTGGTATTCGGGATTTCTGTATTTGGTATTGGGATACCGATACCGTATAGATTTCCATTCCTAATCATGATAGTGCACAACCTGCTCTATCACGAGTTTCCAAATATGACAATGAGTCTCTCAATTTTAAATGTTCTATGCTAGGTGAACTGTACTTTCGTACAAGAAATCCTACCTGACAAAGTCGAAGATGCTACCACAACAAATAAAGCACGGGGTAAACTTTCCAATGTGAGAGGCAGTCATTCGTTGTACATAGAGGTACAAAAGATTCAATTGAGATTGGATTCATGACCATCTTTTGAATCGAGGAAATGGAGTTAAAAGAAGCACTTATGTGAATGATGAGACTGCATAAATTGCTCTTGCTCGATCATAGGTAGTAAGAAACAAAACTCACTTACGCTAAAGTTGTACAAACTCGGAATGCAAAATAAAAAACCGAAAAACTCTTGAACTTGTCAGAAATGGTAGAGAAATTTCTCGAGAAAATCAAATTCTCTCAAAAGCAAGTTTCGTCTTGACCACATCAACTCACTAACCAAACCTTCATATTCGAGACCGCGAGAAAAATCGGGGTCATGACTTCCAGTTTGTGACTGTGAAGTTCGGCACGCGATCTCACCTCCCAAGTAGGTGAAGGTGACGTCGTTTGGAGATCACGGCTTGGCCCGGGAGACCGCGCCCACGATTTTACTTAAGGCAGCCGTGATCTTGACCATATTGCAGAATCCTATAAATAGAGGGCTGCCCCATTGCTAAAAAGATACTTTGAAATTCTGAAACCTAGAGCAAGGTTGTTAACCCGCGGGTCGACCTGATGTGACCCCAGACCTGGAGGAGAAAATGGGCATTGAACACCCATTCAAGGGATTGCTAGTAATGCTTGAACTCATTTCGACCCGGTGAAAACATGAAGGACTCGAGTGTTTGGCCCCGCCAAAACGAATACCGGGTTGGGACTTCGACGACACGTTTTTGTTTTCATTTTTCGGTGCCCATTATCTCTAGCATTAAAGGAGATCTTCCTAGATCGGACCTTAAGTGAGTTGGAAATCGCGTGGAGGACTCCCAGGAGTGGTGGCCAATGCTGGTAGGGTTAAAGCTAAATTATCATATGGTACTTGTAAATAAATTATATTTCAATCATGAGATTATGAAACCACTACAATACTTGTACATATTCTTTCACATCCCGGTTAAACCGAGCTAAAAAGATCCGACTATTAATCCTTAATCCACTTTCTCAAACGAGCCAACGAGCCATACTTGCCCTAGAAAGAGGTTAGAGAGAGAAACAACTGGTTTGTGATGAAGAAGAGAATGAGGAGGAGGATTTTCCATCCAAGTGAAGACCCTTTCAGATGTTTTCTTCCTTTCTTCCCACGATCCCCCCCCCCCTCATGCATGGGGTCTAGTGTATTAAGGTACTTGGGGTTTTGCCCCCAAATCCTAACGTGGGTTTTGACATGTAGATGAATGGTTGATGATAATTTATGGCTTGTTTGTGTTCATTTAGCATTCTTAATGCCTTTAGTTGTGATGTGGATGCATGATTGGGTATATGGCATGAATTAGCCCTATGTTAGTTCTTGATTGTGTATAAATGATTGTATCATATATGTTATTATTAGAGGATTGAGAGTCATAGTTGGGGACGATTTGATAATCTCCTGCAAACTACAAGCTCACCTAAATGATGCTTGACAGATGAATGCCTGACCATTGACTCTTCGGGTTTGTGTGCGGACGAGTTAGACAAGTTTAGGGGAGGTAAAATCTATCCATAGTTAGGAAAACTGGTTGAGGTGACAATGGGCATGTGGACTTGGCTAGGAAGGGGATCAAGAGATATGATCATTGCAATGATCCCACTTTAACAAACTTCGCACCACAATCAATATGAATTCATTTATCCATCATTTGCATGCCCACCTGATAGTTAGGGTGAGTACAATGTGTCGCAAGTATGCTTTATGTTTCTTGATCTCTAATAACATAATTTCCTCGGTATCAACCAACTACATATGATCGACTAGGTAACAACTGAGCTTAGCTAGAGTAGGCTAGAATATTGGAGTCTCTTGGAATACAATTGAACCACTTTACTATAAGTCTAGCGATGATATACTTGTCATTGTTGGGGTTAGAAGTGAGCGAGCATCGTGAAAATTTGAACTCCACCAATTTTTTTGGCACCGTTGCTGGGGACCCATTGCTAAGTTATGTTACATTGTTCATCTAGTCTTTACTTTTCTTGCCTTTAGATTTTGTTTACATTTAAATTGTATTTTGTTTTGTTTAATATTCCACTCTTTACTTCCTTGGTAGTTGAGTACCGACGGAATCAAGATAAATCCACTAAAAATTTCCCTTTTTCTCTCAAAGCGGCGGTGAAGCAATTGATTAACAACCAACACCATCATTCCATCGTATCATGGACAGATATGTGTGAAAAAATTCTTTGCATGACAGATTCTCCCTTCCAAGACAGCGACCATGAGGAACAAGATTACATTGTTCCAACAAGAAGAAGATGAACCATTGTTTGAAGCTTAGGAACAATTCACTTCTTTACTTAAGTGCCCACACCAGTCGATTGGTTATAAGTCGAGACATTCTACAATGGGTTAACCAAAGAGTCTCAACACCTCATCCACATTGCTAGTGCTGGATCTATCTAGAACAAAGAAGTTGATGAGATGCATTGCCTCATTGAAGAAATTTCTCTTAGTAGCTATGATTTGAGGTATGGAAAGAGGAAAAGCGCCCAAGCGAGGAGGAATACTTCATCTAGTTGAATTAACATCGATAACCACACATCTTCAAGAGCTTAACAAGAAAATGGACCTTGTTACGTTAGTACTGCAAGGCAATCTAAAACAAGTGTGACTGGTGTGGGTCAAACTCCCACAACTTGGAAGGATGTTAGGCGATGATTGATGCCATGAAAAAAACGAACTTCGTCAGAAGACAAGAGATGAATAACAACTCATACCTACAATCCTAGGTGAAGGAACCACCCTAATTTTCCGAAGTGAGGGAGATAAGTCTGCACCGATGGATTCCTTCGGCGAGCGGAATTTTCAAGATCAATTTTGATGTCGCGACTTTTGATGACCCGGGTTCGGGTTTTATAATGGTGATTTGAAATGACAAAGGCAATCTCTACTTGGTAAGGGTTCGGAGATCATGGCGATAGTGGTCACCGAAGCTAGCTAAAGCTATGATAATCCGATTTGAGGTGGAGCGAGCTAGGAGGTTTCATTTCTTGCCTAGAGAGATGTAATCAAAGTATCAAACAGTTTGTCTGTCATCCAGGGGTTGCAACTTGCAAGAGGAAGAGAATGATAAAACGGATATTTACGACGTTTGCCAGGTAGAGGCGAACTTAGTTGGTGGGTTGAAGTTCTCTTGGGTGATCACCTCTCTTACATAATGAATATGTCCCAAAGATTGAGTGAATCACAAGTAATTCATATCAAATTGTGGGATGAGTTTGGTATGTACAATTGCTTCAAATTCTAAAAATTGACCTAGGGGCAAACACAATAGCCCATACAATGGCACACATTTTATGTAATTGGGAGGAAGAGAAAGTCTGGACCTCTAAGGCCCCCAATCTTTCTTATTCCCTTTTTGCAAGCTGATCTATCTATATTCCTCAGGGTGGTAGTCTTATCCCTTAGGTAACACAATTCGTCCATATTGCTCTAACGCTCCCGCTTTGGCGCGTGAAAACGCAAATTATATTGAGGCCGGGTAAAATTCACGAATTTTATTTTCACGGAGCGCGAATTTTCTTTGGATGGAGCGCGAATTTCCCTGAGACTGTTCAATTCGCCTACCCAAGCAGGATGCTTGATTCCCCAAGGCCTTTCGACACTTACTCTCTCGTCGCCATGCAACATGCACCGCTCTGTTCTTCATGGTTTCACTCTTTTTGTTCATTGTACTTGTTGTCGACCAGATGTATCAGCAGACACGACACTTGAAATTCTTTAATTTCATTGAGGACTCCAAACCAAGCTCCATCGCCGAACTTCTCGGGGATCTTTGAGTGACCGTCGGCCGCTTGTGATTGGGAATTTTCTGAAGTAAAAAAGTACAAGCTAAGCGATGGGTTATTGGTGGACGGGGCTGTGGGTACTGAGATATAGAGGAGAGGAATTGAAGGGTAAAATATGGGGTAGTCGAGGTTACGGTGTTAAGGAGGAGTCGATCGTCGGTCGGCTGGAGAGAAACTCACGAACTCACAGTGAGGGGTTTGGTGACAGAGAGAGAATGGACGATGAGAATCCCAAAATAAGGATACTTATTTTTATCCCTTATCCTTCCTTTTTCATTTGACGGAAATCCCTTCCCTTATCTACTTATTCTCACAAGTCTCTCTGACTCGACACAAAACTACACCACAAATTAATCCCTACTAGAACCCAAGTTTTTAAACTCTAGCCGGGTGCAGTATAGAGCAAGTATTTAAATTGTCAACCCGGGCCGATCCATGTACCCCTACTTCAATCTCTTAAGTTGTTATCTAGCAAAACGATTTTGGGTTCTTAAACTAAGAAAACTACAAATGAAACAAGCAAAGAAAAGTAAATAAAGGAAAATTCTAACTAGGGGAGCTTCACCCAAGGGTTGCTTCCCCCTAACTAGCTACCATGACTCGTTGGATTGAATGGAGTCGTGTGGCGTAGGTGGTTGTGAACCGCGGGGGTGAGCAACTAGTGATCGATTTGTCACGGGATGTATTCACTAGAGGACAATTTGTCACGGGATCGATCCTCTCACTCAGTCTCTAGTGGTTGCCTAGGTCTCTCCCTCAAACCGGAGTTTGAGCAGCTTAATCACAATCAACCTAGATGCAAACTTGAGTCAATGTGGGTGCTCATCTCTAACCTAGATAGTAGGCACAAAGTGCCCAAGAAAACCAAGATTGTCAAGCCTACCTAAAAAGGTGTGGTTTTCCTCTAATCTAGGTTACGCAAGCACGCAAGATTTGGAAAGCACAACTAAGCACAATCACCATGAAAACACCTCTAATACTCAAATTGATGCAAACCCATACGAAATCATTCAATCTAAACAAGTAATTACAAAGTATTAGTTAGGGATCTACAACACCCAAGAGAAAAGAATGAGTTTCTAGAGAGAGAGAGATAGAGGGATTACAAATTTGAGCTCAAGATCTTCTTCTTCTTCTTCTAGGCTTGAATCCTTGTCTTCAAAATCCATCCAAGCCTCTAATGATGCTCCAAGATCACTCTAGCACTCTCTCTCTCTCTCTCTCTCTCTCTCTCTCTCTCTCTCTCTCTCTCTCACTAGAACTCCCCTTTGGTGTTTTTAGGCAAACCCTAGAGAGGGAATTGAATTTCTCTCCAAATACCAGCGCCCCTTTCTCTCTCCCCGCTGCTGTCTTCATATTTGCTCGAAAGTGATCAGTTCACGGACGCGTTGGCCAGTTCACGACCGTGAACACCTAAACGCGTTTGTGAACTCTGTCGTCTCCAAAACGCACCACTTTGCTTCCTGGGTTCACGGTCTTAGAGACCGTGAACTGCCTTATTGTCAGTAACTTCAGCAACCTCGTTGGACGCCTCGGTGTTCACGGTTTGTGGTCGAAGTTCACGGTCTTAGGAGACCGTGAACTGCCTCGTCTGGTCGTAAACTGCTGTTGTTTCCTGGACGCCTGCACTTCACTATTACGGGCGTCACGTTCGGACTTTTCTTCGGTTTTTGCGCTTTTTTTTTTACCTCCAATTATCCCAAAATTCGACCTCGACCCTTCCACACGTGCTAAGACCTGAAATGTATCAAAACAAGCACAACCTAGCGTGGAATATGTCGAGGAACGATGAAATACTAAGCTAAACGAATAAGAAATGAGGGGTAAAATGTGTATTATTTGGGCCCGAATCACTCTCCTTTCAATACAAGTACAAATTGGTTTAGGGCTAATACCAATACAAAACCCGAACTATTAAGAATATGTCATTTGTGTTCTAAAGTATTCAATATGACATTTATGTCCCAAACTATTATAGTTCTGTGTCATTTATGTCCCCACCTATTATAGTTTTGTGTCATTTATGTCCAAACCCGAACTATTAAGAATGTGCCATTTGTTAAATACTAACGGTGAACGTCGGTCAACTCTAACGGAAAAATAATTTAGGACACAAATGTCATATTTGATACTTTAGAATACAAATGTCACATTCTTAATAGTTCGGGTTTCCATTAGCCCATTGCTTTATAATCCCTATAAATATATCTATATACCATACACTCATGAATGTTTATATGTGGATTCAAATAGGCAAAATACACTTTCATAGCCATAACTATTCGCGTTGTGACAAATATAGCCACTTTTTGAAAAATACACTCGTATAGCCACTTTTGAAAACTTGCTTGACAAATTTAGCCATTTCCGTTATAAACTTTAACACCGTTAACTCTTCAATGATGTGGATGTACACGTCATCAAATGTATGCCATGTGTCAGCCACCTCAGTTTAAATTATTATTTTAAATAATTTTCTTATCAAAATGAAAAATCATTTAATTTTTTCTTCCAATTCTCCTTTCCCCTTCCCCATGGAGAGAGCAGAGAACGAGATCCGATCTCCGCCTGTCACTCTCCGATCCATCGACCTGTCTCCCTCTCCGTCGTTTGGAATTCTTTCTTTTCTTCTTCCCCGAGCCGCCGATCTCGTCGTTGCCGGCTTCATCCTCTCTTCTTTCTCTGTTAGTCATTGGGTTGGGGGAGAAATAGGGGAAATCATCTTCCCCTTCATCTTCTTCCTCACGCCAGAAACACAGAGGAAATCATCTTCTTCTAGCCATTCACACATCAAAGTAAAGACAAGCTCATAAACCCCAATTTTGAATCAACCAAAAATAGAACCCTAAATTGACAGAGACCCAAATATCGCTCCCCTTACATTTCTCCACTAGTCTTGTAATCATCCACAGATCGGCCACCGCCACTAGAACCCAGATATGTAGATTGCTTTACCAGCGACAACTTCGACTTTATCAAGTCATCGTCGCCATCGCCATCATAATCGTCTTCCTCTCGTGCGACAGAGATGAAAAGGTTCGTCCCTGTTTCGATTGGAAGAGAGAAGAAGGGTCTGGGTTAGGGGTTCTTAGTCGTTTCAAGCTCTCACAAAACCACCGCAACGGCGGAGGATAGTCTGTGGGGCTCGTCGATGTTTCCAGAATCTCAAGCCAAGAACCAACACTCGAAGACCCATCTCGTCAAAGTCGTCGATTACGCTCATGGAGACTCCGACAGGGAGAATCTCAGAGCTGGTCTGCGGCGGTCGTTAAGGATTCTTGTGGCCGCCGAGCTGGTCTGCGGCGGTCGGTACCCATCGCAGCGACGGGCAGAGGCTGAGATGCGAAGGGATTGGGGAGAAGGAAATCGAAAAAGATGATCCATAATCCAGATGGGTCTCCTGGGTAGATGGAAAGAAGGGGAAAGGCGAAAGGGGAAAAGAAGATGATCGATTTTTCATTTTCATTAATTGTTATTTTTACTTTTTAATGTAATTATAATAATAACTTAATAAGAAATGAAATTTTCCACCTAGGATTGGTTTAAATAAAAAATTTCCACGTCAGTAGAAAACGTTAGTACAGTCAGCATTTATGTTGCCGTTAAAGTTTTGGACGGAATGGCTATACGAGTGTAATTTTCAAAAAGTGGCTATATTTGTCACAACGCGAATAGTTATGGCTATGAATGTGTATTTTGCCATTCAAATATTAGTCATTTTAGGAGTTTTGAATTAATTTATGTTGCTAACTTTGTGCATGAGCAAAACTTGAAGAATGTAGACCTAGGATTTAAGGAGATAGTTGAAGTATCTCTGATCACTAAATCCTTATATATTTTTTAGTTGTCTAAGTCATTTTACTATAAATCAAGTTTTTGCATAAATAATAATATAATATTAACGTTTTATTCGCGCTCTTAGTATAGAATTCTTCTAAATCAGACGCTTTCACGCTCTCGCTCCACGAACTGGTTACCTAAGGTGGTACAAGCACAAATAAATCAACAGAAATCGAACATGGGGAAAGCAACCACAGTACCACACAATGTCACATGATGCACAAGTTTTAAGGTAAAGCTTTTTTAACTTTTCCCTACTTTTTTTTACTGCATTTTCATTCATCTCTCTGATAGCTGTACATCACCATCTATTGTTTGTTTTTCCTTACTCTTTGGTCTTTACTCTCCCACCGGCCACCATTCTGATAAAACATGTGGCTACTCTGCTTCCTTCTTTTCCTCCAGTTTTTTAACCAGTCAGAAAATTTTGAAGCAACAAAACTTCCCCACACCTCCAACTAAAGACTAACACAACCCCCAAAAGCATTTTTTACTGCCTGATCGCTCGCTCGCTATAGCAATCAGGAACTGCACAAAAGACTACTCAGCTACTCCTCTCGTTAGCTATACTAAAACCCTAAGCAACTCTTTCTTCTGCTTCACTCGACAAAACTCGTCCCTCGCTAACTACAAAATCCCTCTAGTGCCTACCATTTTGAGTAAGTCAACATACCCTCTTTACAATTTCAGAGCCCTTCCCCATGGCCAAGACGCCTACTTTCTCACAACCATACTCCTGCCAATAACAGAAACTGAAGCAGACCAGCCTTAACAAAGTCCTGCTGCTCTCAGCTCATTTCCGGCATCGTTTGCTTTCACGCATGGTGACTGCACGCTATCTTCGTCAGACTCGCTCCCAGATGCGCTCTCCGATCCTGAATCTGCACCCAAACCCAGAATAACCACAAATTTCTATGGTGTTAAAGTAATATCGCTTCCTGCCCATCTCATTATTTATTGCTGGTTGAGTTTAAGGGGTCACCATCAACATCAAAAACACATTCTGTGGAGTAGAAGAGGAACAAACCACTTGATGAGGAAGAACCGCTGCGGCTGCTACTCCTTGAACCACCAGAGCTGCTTGACTTGCCACTCCCACTCCCACTCCCGCATCCAATCAAATCCTTCTCTATCTCCACCGGCGGATAATTCCCAACTGGACTCTCCTCTCCAATGTCCACTTCCTCCTCCACAATCTTGTTCCTCGCCATTTCAGGACTTGTTTCAGGACCCTACACAAAACCCACAGCCATCATATGAAATAAGAAAGATAACACAATTGAACCACAGGATATCAGTAAATGCATGCGATGAAAACTGGCTTCTTTTTGTTTGATACCTGGGTGATGAATTTGTTTTCTTCAAGTTGGTTCTGAAGCTGCAACTGCTCCTGCCTCTTCATCTTGTTAAGGCATTTCCTGTAGTTGGTCACCAGCCTATCAAGTTCCCACAGCGTCTCCACATCCATGGCATCAAAATCAAGCACAATTTCATTGTCCTCTTGTTCCAATTCCCCATTCCGCTTCCTCACAATCTGCACTACCTGATCCATCTTCTCAGGGGGTAACTCTTGTAACTCCTTCCCCAACTTTTCCTTTTCTTGTGCGCTCATTGCTCTCTTGTTTGCATCTTTGGCCTTTGGTTTCGGCAGCTTCCCACCTCTCAACTGCTGCTGCTGCATCACAGCAGCCTTGCCGATATGCAATTGCTGCTGCTGCTGCTGCTCTATCACGCCCCTGGCAACCTCCTCAACGTCTGTATCCATGGCCTCGATGACTGGCTGATGAGACACCACCGCTCTATCCAACAATGCGGGTTGAAATTGACCCATATCATGACTCTGCCGTGAAACTTTACGCTGCTCAGCCTCGAACCTCTTATATGAAGGCTCAAACATATCGTCGAAAAACTTCAGCAACTGCTTGGCGAATCCATGCACTTCGTGCCCGATAGGGTTGTAAGTCATTGCGTTTGAGAAAGTAAGCCTCACATCGCTTGCGAAATCGAAGGGTGCCTTGTAAACCCCATCATCGAGATTGGATTTCACAGTTCCCAGATCCATCGGCCTCTTGATTACCTTGCTATAATCGAACAACCGCATTCCCACAACATCGACCGGATGGTTGAACCACACCGCAGATCTGTGCTTCATTACCTTACCCAGGATTTGCCCGCACCTTCTCATCATGCTCACCAGTACCTTATCCTGTAGCGAATAGGGTTCCAACTCATGGGTCGACGGGGAGCTAGGTTTTGAACCCTGACCCGGAACCAAAATTGGAAAAATCTTCTTCGATTTTGGCCCTTTGATGGCGCGATTCTGTTGGTTGGCCTTCGTCCCGCTTGCAATCCTGCTCGGAAAACCGGGCGCAGGCAATGCCAGTGGGTGCTGCGTATGTGCATTGGAGAACTGGAAACTCGGGTAAACGGGTCGAGATTCAGAGTGCAGTCGGTCTAACCTCGTTCTCACGGTTCGGACCTGTTCGAGCTCCGATTGAAGGCGCTTCCTCAACTCTTTCAATTCCAGCCCGGAGTGCGCATCGAGATTGAACGTCACGTAACCGCCGCGGTACGACTCCTTCACTTCGTCGCCGGGAGCCATCGTCCACTTCGGCCGGGAAGGAGGTAGCATTCTGCCGACGCGGTGATCACCTGACGGATTGCGGATCTGGCTTGAACTCTGTAAGGAACTAGGAAGCTGAATCGGGCTCGGGCTCGGGTTCGGGTCACGCCCGGGGAGTAAATCGCCATGGCTGTGACTGGCGCCGTTGCGGCTCTTATTTGCGTTGGTGGCAGCGGTGACAGAGGTGTATCTCCTCATGTACGCCTCACTGTCCCTCCAATGCGGTTCATTTCTGCTGGCTAGGACGGCCGGTGCCATAAACGGAAAGATAACCTAGACTCGGTACCGGGCTAATCGCCGGCGAGGAAGGAGGAATGGAAATGGCGGGAGATCATGATTGAGCGAGCGGGAAAATCAGAGAGTAAAATTGGAAAGAAGGAAAAACGATTAGACTGGAGAGAGAGGGAGAAATTGGGGCGAGGGGTTTTGAGACCCTCTACACACCATGGATGATGATGAGAGCATGGAAAGGGAAAGGCAAACTTCCGTTCCTTCTTAAAGACGATTAAGATCTGCCCGTACTAGTCGCGGGCAGCTGCATCAGCCGTCGATATGTGATCTGACGGTTCACATCCGTTATGTTTGCCTGCCCCAGCTCAATTTCCGTGTCCATCTGGCACGAACGGTTCTGATCGTGGCAACGTACACGTAGGAGTTTTTTAGCCATTAGTTTCGGAATTTTGGTTTCTCTCTCTACCCTTTGCGCTAAGTAGAAGGTAGAAACAAATCTTTGTGGTTTTTTTCTTCTTTTTCTTTGTCATAGATGTGAAATGGATTGTATTAGGTACAAAATAAATGGATAAAAACAATCTAAAAAATTAACAACATGTTATAAAATAACAAGGAAGAGCAATAGACACAAGAGTAAGAGTAGAAACACAAGAAGAGAGGGGGAATAGAGCTTTCTTATTCATATGTTCCTTTGTACAAGGAGATCATCTATTTATAGGCACACATCACATAACCTCTACATTCTTACAATCAATATACATGAATGTGAAATAGAAATAGGGTGGAGGGTTACATGTAACACCCAATTGTGCAACTAATGTGTCATATGAAGAAATAAATATAAGGAGATGAGTTACATAGAACTTGTAACATACCATGGAGCATCTAATGTTGGTCATCCATAATAATAATAATGTTTTCATAACACTCCCCCTTGGATGACCATTAGACATGAATATGCCTCGTTAAAACCTTACTAGGAAAATCCCTGTGGGATAAAATCCTAGTGAAGGAAAAAGAGTACATAATCATCATAATACGCTATTTGAATCTGCCTCGTTAAAAACCTTACCAGGAAAACCCAGTGGGAAAAACCATGGTTAAGGAAAAAAGAGTGCAGTACGTATATACTCCCCCTCATGACAACATCAAAGTATAGTGTTGTGAACAAATCTTTCAAATATTGTCATGGTAAGCTTCTTAGTGAACAAATCTTCTAGATTGTCACTTTATGCATGATCCATTAGGACCACTTTCTTCATACATGATCTTCAAGATCATTTTTTATGAAGAGAATCCACAACTACAAGTCATTTAGACGTGTTGAATCACAAATCTTAACCAAACAATTCATAACAAGTCTCATGAATTGTTGACCATTGTGCATGATCAGTTGCTATTGTGATTTCTTTTGGAATCTCCATGAGATACTTGTACGACCATAAGTAAACAAATTATTCATCTATGATCCTCATCGTTACCTATAGTAACGAAGTATAGCGAGATACATTTTCGCTCTAACGACATTAACATACGGTACTTCAGGACCTAATAATTCACTTTTATCTCAATGCCTAAATTGATCTTTGTTCACTTCTAGTGACCATGTGATCATTAAGCTGTTGAACATATGCAATTTTTTTTCATACAAAATTGTCCTTTCACCTTTCCGACATTGTCGTACTGATCCAAAAAGGATCTTAAATCCTTCATGTTCAATTTTCTTTCTTTAAGCAATCCATGCTGCAAGAAACTCTTATGGAGTTCAATTTTCTTTCATTAAGCAAAACATGCTTTATGAAGCTCTTCTGGAGTTCATATCAACTAAAAGATATGAGATCATTATAAAATAATTTCTCGACTTTTTTCTTCCAAATAATTATAAAACTTAGCTAACACAATTGTATGCAAACAATTACTTCATACCACACGGTCACAAGCAAAAGGCACGTCATACACACAACATCACTTAACCAAACCATATTCATAAATCAAACTCATAACTAAAACCACAATATCACGCACATAAGCCTATATGTCATTACACAATCACACATGCCAAATGCAAATGCTCTAATTAACTTTATTCGAATTTAATCACGCAAGGCTTATTCGACCACTTCCTTTAGTAGATATTCACTTAGATGAATATACCATATTCATCCATTTTATCTCAATCCATACAAGGGATTGTTTTATTGATCGATATTGTTCTCGAGAACTTCACATGTTTGCTTCCGGCAAACTAATCCTTCAAGGAGTTTCGTATAAATATCATTATCAAGGGATCCATACAAATAGGTTATCACAATATCTACCAAATGCAAATTTCATACTTTTTGAACTGCCAAACTATTTAAATTGCACAACATAGTTGCATCCACCACAACAGAGTATATCTCTTCATAATTGATGTCAGGTTTCTATCAAAAACCTCTCACGAGAAATTGTATGATATCCCTCGCAATTTCCATACGCATTTGCACAAAACCTATTTGTATCCCGTTAGTTTTACATCTTCAGGTGTAAGGACTTCTGGTCCAAAACTTATACCAAATAGCCTAATGCTTTCTTTTATATTGGCCAATATATATTCCTTTGCATGCATCAATAGACTTTTACTTTTGATCCTCTTTGTATCTATCACGTTCAGTGCTACAGCATAATCAAAACCCTTGTTGACAATAAATACACTTCGGTTCCAACCTTTTTTTATACAAGTCAATTAATTGAGATCTCTTCATTTTAAAACGTTCAGGTACCTACTATTCTTCTGGAACTATGATCTCAATTTTATGACTTGACTCTTCTAGAGCTATTTTATCCTCGAGTTTACCATCTTAATTTATAGCTCCTTCCTTTCTCGAGGATTTTTATCCTTGGAACCGATTGGTCTACCATGCTTCATGCGCTCGTTTAGACTCATTAGATTATCCAATATGGACATCAATTTGTATTGGAGCATTCACAACTGGGCATGTGACATAATCACTCCTTTTAGTGAGTAAAAATGCGTTTGGCAATCAATACGTTTTTTCCTCCATGAATCACCATATGAACTTCGGGTTCATGTTTCATCGTTTGAGGATTAAAATGAGATAATGATGATTCCAACTCACATCTATGCCCCCGTGTTTACTTTTCTCCCCCTTAACGTTCGAAAAGTAATTCATCAAAATGATGATATTCGCAAAAAGAGTCATGAACAAATCTCTCATTGCAATGGACACCATGTCCAACATGAGTTCTCATGGAACTCATAACGTGTTGTGGTGGAGCAATTGGGATGTATTCTGCACACCCAAATTTTCTAGCAATTTAAATGTTTGGTCCCTGACCAAAACCATTTGTATGAAAGGGGGAACATATGATAACTTGTTGGCTTCATGCGAATTAATGATATCATATTTCTCGATAAGAGATCGATAGACTTAGCTTGTTCTCATAAGAGAAGTTTTGTTTGATTGGATAATCATCAAAATATATCCATCAATCGACAACGAATCTCGCAAACATCAGGTTGCGGTTAGATAACAGACATATATGACGATATAGTTGATGTATCAATCAAAATCATAAAATTCATATATGATTTGCACGGTGAGTGTATTTTTCTGCATACACTTTTATAAAATCTCAACATATTCAATTATTTCCACAAGTGAGTATATTCTCCTCGAGGCATTTATCACATAATCAATCCTTTGATTGATGAATTCTCTAAACTCTCACTTAATTTCCGTATGATATCTCAATCATTTTCGAATCTGTATCCGGGATGGTATGACCGGACATGCCAAAACAAAAAGTTATCCGACCTTGCAAACTTCTGGTTTACACTTTCATATGTACTAATATACATGTAGTACAAATTTCTCCAGTTAAGTATATGTTCTCTTAGAACACATTTCTGATGCAATATCAATTATGATATTCGTTTCTCCGAATATCTTCAACTGAATTATGAATTCGGTAATACATCTTCAATTGACAGTTTAGTTCATTCACGTCTCAAAACATTAGCTCTTCTGGAGCCTTCACATATTATTGTACTACATTTTGGCCATAAGGCACCTTCTGATTCGGTAAACTATTGTAAGCGCATATACATAGCGATAATAATATTTACATACTATGAACATCACCAATATATTGTTTAGTTACTTCAAGTAACAAAACACAATCTCTTCCGGAGCTTTTCCTTACTTTCATACTATATGATATAATACCAGTATTGGCTTTTGCGAATATTCATTCTATACAAAAGCATACAAAATAATAATAATAATAATAATAATAACATATATGTGTTTCATAACACATTCTGGCATATGAAGGTTACGGTATATGATCATGACTTTTGCTACATGAGTTGTCATCCTAATTTATAATTATTTTATCTTTCACTTCCGTTGAAAAGATACATTTGTTGATTGTCGTTATCCAAACAACAAATTATATTAATATAATGGTGTGTCTCGATCCATTCACTTTTAAGAATGGTTTGTTTCATTCGCTTCCAGGAATGAAACAACACCCTTTCGATCATATTATATAATATTTCTCATCACAAGTCCAATACATTTTTCACCTTTAACTAACAAGAAATTAACTTACACTTTGTAAAACCTCTAAGATAATATTGCTACTGCAGGAGCACATATAGATTTTCATTTTCCTTTCAAATGATTCTTGGACCAATAAAAATTATTTTCATACATCGGGTATAAGATCAATGATTTTTTCCCCATCGCAATGGTAACTCATATTCCAATATTTTAGTTACCATATCCACTTCTTTCATTTGACACATTTTTTCTTCATTTTACCACTTCGGGGGAAAATGAGATCTTTAGACTTTCATTTCTCTATATGTCGAATGTAGCAATCGATAAGTCAACCCATAATGATTTTGCTACTACAGGAGCAATTTTCATTATCTGATAATGTCCAAGCACAAACTCCATGTTGTAAGATCGACATATATAAAATAATATGAACAAATAACATGATCAAATAATCCCTCAAAGACAATGAGATAGATAAACATACTAACAAGAAATGGCATGAAAATTTGCATACCTTGATCGTGTTGTGATCTTACTCAAGTATATGTGATTATGTAGAGAGACAATGACCAACCATTACTTTGGCAGAGCTCGTGCTGATAACGTGTTATAAAATAACAAGGAAGAGCTAGACACAAGAGTAAGAGTAGAGACACAAGAAGAGAGGGGGAATAGAGCTTTCTTATTCATATGTTCCTTAGTACAAGGAGATCATCTATTTATAGGCACACATCACATAACCTCTACATTCTTACAATCAATATACATGAATGTGAGAATGAATGTGAAATAGAAAAGGGGTGGGGGGTTACATGTAACACCCAATTGTGCAACTAATGTGTCATATGAAGAAATAAATATAAGGAGATGAGTTACATAGAACTTGTAACATACCATGGAGCATCTAATGTGGGTCATCCATAATAATAATAATGTTTTCATAACACAACATATATTGATGATCCTCAACATAAAAAAGTGACGCGTGAACGTTTCACGCGTCCGGATTTCGTAAGCGAGAACTAAGAAAAACTGAAAGAACTGGTTTATTATTTTCTGGTGAATAAAACGTAGAGGTAAAGTACATATTTATAGGACAAGTCCCATAAACCCTCTCCCTCTCAAACAAGGAAACCCAATCCTAAACCAACTCCTAACCGATTACTTCCTTAACAAGAAATAATAAGGGCTAATACCACTACAACACCCGAACTATGACAAAAATGTCACTTATATCCTATTCTTTTCAATATTCCAATTATGTCCTAAACTATAATACGTTGTGTCATTTGTATCCTGTCAATTTCGTTGACCGTAAAAGATAACGGTTGACCAAACGGTGGTCAACGCGAAATTGACTTTTGCTGACGTGGCAAAAAATGTGGCAGCCACATAGATGCCATGTCATTGACACCTCATATTTTATATTCAAAATTAAATAAAAAGAATATTAAAAACACAAAATATGTAAACTCAACATTAATGAAAATTTTGACTTTGCACTTTCCCTTTCTTCTTCTTCTTCCTCTGTCAAAAAAGAATCATCCCTTTCTTCATCGGGCATGAACAACAGCGGCCAGCAAAGAAAGTCTAAAAAAAAAAAACAGATCTAGCGAGAGTGGTAGGAGGATCGAGTCTCCCTCCACCAAGCGACGAACCTGCAAAAATATTGTTCTTCTTCTTCGCCATCTAATCACTCTTGGTCAAAAGACTCCATCATTAGATCTTGAAATTAAAAAAATGGGGAAGGCCAGCAAACCCAGATTCCGGCAACTTTCACTTCAGCCACACCTTGTGCTTGGCGTTCGCCGCCAGCAGGCCCAGGCACTGGACGGTGAGGTGAACTTGCCGCCGTGGGGTGAACCGGCCGACGCAGGTGCCCATCGCGACGAGGTTCTTTCAGTTGATGTTGGTGGCGCGCTTCACCAGGGCCTCGCTGACGTAGTAGACCCGGTTCTTCTCGAGGCGGAAGCAGTAGCGGCCGGGGTTCGGGTACGGACCCTCGTGGGCGGGGCTCTTGACGATGTTCTTCAGGTTGTTGCCGGTGAACTTCAGGAGCTTCTCGAAGACGACCGTCGTCTCCGCCTCGTCTAGCGGCCTCATCTTGTTTTTGGGCTTCGGATTAAGGAGGGGGATTTCTTCTGTATAGGAAGGAGGAGGAAGACGAAGGGTTCTGATTTGGGGGAAATTAAAAAGATTTTGGGAGAAGTGGACTGGCGAAGGGATTAAAAAGAGTTTGGAATTTTTCATTTTGTTTTCCTTGTTTTTATTATTTTAGATGGAAAATTAAATAAAAATTGATAATGAAAATTCCACGTCAGATGCCATGCCAATGCTGACTGGATTTTCTGTTAAATACTAACGGTCAACGCCGGTCAACACTAACGGAATAATAATTCAGGACACAGATGGAATATTGGAAACAATAGGACACAAGTGGCATTTTCGGGATAGTTTGGGTGTTGTAGTGGTATTAGCCCAAATAATAATAACACAAAATAACCAAAAGAATATCAAATAAACAATAATAATAATAATAACCGAAATTAGTTTAATGACCCAGACGGTCAGAAAACGTGCACTCATCAATCCTCCCCCCTTCAAGCGATCTCGTCCCGAGGTCGCTCAGCCTCCTCGACCCATTCCTCCATTCCACCACCGAAATCCCCTATCAGAGCAAACACCTGGTTGTTAGCACAATGATGGCCAATGGTAAATCGCTCGTCGCAATTGTAGCAGAGGCCATCAAGGCGACGTTTAGCAGCTTCCTCCGGAGTCAGATGCCTAAAGACTCGCCTCCCAGCTGGCGGCGGAGCTCGATTTTGTGGCGCAGGGCGCAGGAGGTTGCAGAGGTCCAGTACCTGGGGTGGCGGCTACCTCGTGCGGCACCGTGACAGGCACACGTGGTCCCCTCGCTACCCCACGCTCGAGTCGGATCTCCTCCTCGCGGATCTTCGCAAGACGATAGGCTTCGCCAGTATTTCGAGGCTCAAATGCACGGATATAAGCTGAAATTTCTGGTTTGAGCCCGCCCATGTAGGTTCCCATTACGGCTTCCTTACTCCAACCACGACAGCGATTGAGAAGCTTCTCGAAGGCCTGCTGATAGTCCTCTACCGTACCAGTCTGCTTGATTTTGGCCAAAGCCTCATGCCCAACAGCCTTCTCCGATGCTCCATACCGCTTCCAAAATTCGGCTCGGAAATCCTCCCAGTTCATCTCCATCCCATCCTGCCAGAACTCCTCAATCCACATGATCCACTAATTGGCATCTTATTCTATGTGGAACGAGGCCAGTGCAACCTTCTGCTCCTCGGGAATCGCATGGTATTTGAAGTACTTCTCTACCCGAGCTAGCCATCCGCCTGCTGAATTTGGGAAACTCCAAAGTCGGTGGTCTCCCCCGAAAGAGTGCGGCAGCCTCTTCATCCCCTGCACGGGCCTTCCCTCGCTCGTCGACCCCGGGGTTCGACCCGCTTGACCCGTTGGTGGGTCCAATCGGTCGGTTCAGCCCAGTCCGGCCGGATTTCCCGCCGCCGCTCCTTGGCCACCTCCAAGCCTCCTCTCGAGCCTCTCGTACTAGGTCCAGGCGGCTGATTGGTCCTTTCCTGCTTCCCGAATTGCCTCTCGCCTGGATCGATCCTCCGCGTTCCTCGCCTGGCGTGCGTCCCGTCTTGGCCCGCATCTCCTGAAACCCGTCGTGCCCCGTACTGTCTTCACCTCTTGCACGGCTGCGACGTTCATCGAACCGCGTCACTGGCTTTCCCTGATCGTCGCTAAAAGCCAGGTTTCCCCAGGCCATCCCGCTCAGAACAATGGCCTCATCAGGCCCGTGAGGTCCCGATCGCCCCTTCCCGGCGCTTGACCCTTGCGGCGGCGGCACACCAGAGGTCCCGCCGTGGCCTCCTCCCTTCGACGAGTCCAGCTCCACTGTCGCGCCCTTCAGCTTCTCTTCCGGTGGTATTTGATAAGCAGTCCTTCGATATCCCTGCTTTTCCCGATCGGTATTGTTGGCGTCGGTCTTTTCCCATCCTCCGTTCCTCGCAAGCTCCTTGAATTCCCCGCGCATGATGTCCCTGAGTTCCTGGCGAACCTCGATCTGGAGCAGGTTCTGCGAATCCTTGAGTTGGCCAATATCCGCTAGGATCACGCTGCGGTCATCTCCAATGGTACGAAGCTGCTGGTCGTGCTCGGCAAGACGATCCAGGACCTCCCGGATTTGCTGCCCTGTGGCATCGTCGGCGGCCTCCGTTGAAGAAGAACTCGTGTTGTTCTTCTTTGGCGGCATGTACTCGGCTCCTGGGTTCTTTCGAAACCAGGCTCTGATACCAATTGACTCATGAACGTTTCACGCGTCGGGATTTCGTAAGCAAGAACTAAGAAAAACTGAAAGAACTGGTTTATTATTTTCTGGTGAATAAAACGTAGAGGTAAAGTACATATTTATAGGACAAGTCCCATAAACCCTCTCCCTCTCAAACAAGGAAACCCAATCCTAAACCAACTCCTAACCGATTACTTCCTTAACAAGAAATAATAATAACACAAAATAACCAAAAGAATATCCAAATAAACAATAATAATAATAAACGAAATTAGTTTAATGACCCAGACGGTCAGAAAACGTGCACTCATCAAAATGTTACCAAGTTAGATAGTATAAGGTCGTTTTTGCGCCATTTTATGGTCTACGAGAGAACATCGTAGTAAAATTTTCACGAGTGATGCTCATTATATCAAAGTTGTTCTGAAGCACCAAATCTTTTACAACGTTGCAGTTAAAGTAACTTGAAATAGGAAATGACTACTTGACAATACGTGACCACTACCTCTTATAAGTTATAATCCATAATTGGCCATTAAAACGAAGGCATTAGGAACGGCTAATAACTCGATAATGTAAGGATTATAAGTTAAATAATTTTTACTATTACTTTAGAGTTGTATGAATACGATATAATTGTCATTATGCTCCTAACTTACCAGCTCTTTATTAGAATCAACATGTGGTGATGCAAGGAGAAATTGAGACAATAGTGTAGCTTAATTTGCCAACCTACCTCACTTTCTCAGAGATACACTCATGGAGAGATGCCTCCCAAGTTCCTGGATCAACTGTATCATGTATTATGTGGAGAATAACAGGATGCAAATCTCTTGGAATGGTGATCTATCATACCCGATTGCTTCTATTAGAGGAGTCCTCCTGGGAGACCCTCTTTCCCCCTACCTTTTTGTTTAGTGCATGTAGCGTTTATCTCATCACTTTGACCTGACCATTGAGGAGAAGTTTTGGAAACCCCTAACTCTCTCTCCTGGTGGCCCAAAAACATAATGATCCTTTTGATAATCAAACAATGTATGGAGGCAGCTCTAGACAACAAGTGAATCCCCAGAAGTCTGTTGTAAGGCTCCCACAACGACCCTCGAGAGATGGCAACAGATCTGAGTGCTCGGGTTGGCTTCTCTCTTACCATCGACCTCGGGAAGTATCTCGGTGTAATAACAATCAACTCAAAGTCAACAAAGATAGCTACTGGGACCTCATCTTGCATATCCAGAAGAACCTCTCGCCTTAGAAAGCTAAGAAGTTGTCCCTTTCTGCTCGTTTTTCTGTGGCTCGTTCTATCTCTATTTCTATCCGTGTGTATCCTATGCATACGAAACTGCTACCAACCTCTATTTGCAAAGAGATTGACATATTAAATCGAGCTTTTTATTGGGGCCATACGGAGGGGAGAAAGCATTCACACCTTGTTGGCTGCAAAAAGCTACTAGAACCCAAGACTTGTGGAGGAGCTGGACATAAATCTCTTTGCCGTATCAATCTGGCACTCATGGAGAAGAGTGGGTGGTGGACATTGAAAGAGAAAGACACCATGTGGATCTAAGTCTTTCGAGGGAAGTATGGAATGAACAAAGACGACCATGTGATCTTCGAAACTAAACAGGGAAGTTCTTTCACCTGGAAAAGTATTTCCAAAGCAATACCTATCCTTTGGAAAGGTTGTGTTTGGAATATCCTTAATGGTAAAAGAACAAAATTCTAGACTAACGTTTGGTGTTAACAGGTACCGCTCATGGAGGTTTAAATGACCACAATCCTGGAGGAAGAACTTCATACGACAGTCTCGGAGTATCTTTAAGAGGGAGGAGGGTGGCGAACTGAGCTATTCCCGAAACTTTTATATGGAAACATCATGGAGGAGATAACGACCACAACTACTGATCCTCTCGCTCAAGAAGGTGACAACCTGCTATGGCAACCGACGACAAATGTCAAATACACAGTTAAATCAGGATATACATATCCAAACCCCCCAGTATATAGATCAACACATTTGGAAGCAAGTTTGGAAGATTCAAGTTCTAAAAAGAGTAAGGCACTTCATCTGGCTCTTATTTCTGTATCGCATCAACACCAACCAGAAGCGTTAGAAGACGCAAAACTCACCCAATCCCTTCTACTACAGGTGCACCAATGATCCTGAGTCGAAGTTGCACCTTCTTCATGACTGCCCTTATTCTATGTTTTATTGGGAACAAACGGTACCAGAAAGTAAGAAGTTGGGTTCTTTACCATTAAGCTGGATTATTATGACTCGCTTAAACACAACACCAAACAATGGCCAAGTGTAACCAATGAATGGTAATGCTGAATAGTGGGTAAGCTTTAATTATCAACCCGTGGTCTAGATCTACTGCCTACTCCGTGAAATTCTATTATCTAGCAGTAAGAGTTGAGTGATTGTGATTCTAATCTAAAGCAGAAATAAAGCAGTAAATTGTATGGTTTTCTAAAGCAAGAGAAGAGTCACTCGGGAATGAGTCCCCCTAGATCCTTAGGTTCAACTTGTAATTCCCTTTGGTTGATTCATTGTTGATTAGACTACGGAAGATCCGAAAATAGTTTGGAATCTCTTAAGCTGACCAAGCCCTCTTAGACAGAATACTCGGTAGGCGAATAACCTTCTTCAAATAGACTACTAAGGCGATTAACACATAACTCCACTACTGGAAACAGATTCCAATACAAAGCAATGAATTGACTAACTCTCAGACAAAAAATTCACTCCTATCGATTGAAGAAGCTCTAACAACCT